CGGAACGGCGAAGGGGAGAAACGTCAGCTTTGGGCAGTCTGAAAGGAAACAAACTGAGGAATGTGTTGAAAGCACCCGCAGGAGGGAGGGAGCCCCTACAATTTTAAGAATGGAAAGAAAGAAAGACAGTAGAGCGTATGAGAAAAATGGGTGTGAAATGATCATAGGAGGAAAATGAAAGAAAAGGGGGAGAGAGATGAACAAGTAAAAAAATGAGGAGACCGAAATGGATGTGACCATATAAGCAATCTAAATTGCCTCTTGAAAGGAACCGCTGCCTAACCAACACCTCTTTACATACAGAAAATATGAAAATGAAAAGCATGCGTACAATGAGCATGTTTTTATTTCTAAAATCATTAACTACCACTGAGACCACTTGCAGTTGATAAAAACAGTCCTGTGGTTATTTTATAACATGACATGAAGACTTAAGTCTTGCCAGAGGATGGGATTCTGGGATATCCTAAGTGCATTAATTGAGATATGTGCATAAAAAAAACATGTTGATACAGTCCCAGTCCCGCTAGCTGTTGCTTAAGCTTCATTAAAGACAAGCAATCCTTTAAAATCCAGTCAAAGTATTTCATGAGAAAAAGACTTTAAATAGGATGCTCTTTATGATCTTCTCTACAAAATGAGCTGCATCAGTTTGGTTTTTTTTAACTCCCACTGTAGTCTTAACTGTTATTAGTCTTAGGCCAGTCACTCTGAGCCAACAGAGATGGTTAATGCTTAACTAATAAAATGGTGTGTGAGCTTCATCAAGACATACAGTAAGGCAGATTCACAAGGTCACAAACTGAAGTAAACTTAAAATTGTATTTTCTTGTTAATACTGTGGGCTTATTTGGATCCTGATTTAAACAAACAAACAAACAAAACCCACCCACAAACCAACCACAAAGCCAAACTCCGTTTAGCTGACTGTCTTAGAGATGTCTGTGTTAGAGATTACGTGTCCTTGGTACAATGCTGTGAATCACACAAATTGCATCACAGTAGATAAGGACTGTATATCCTGGTTAGGTGAAGATAATATTTGATACAGAGACAGAGATCATTGTTCATCAGCAGAACACTTCTTTTTGTTATATATGTATACTTCACGGAGTTATATTACCTAATTCTGATCTGCTACTTCTCTGAGATTTTTCCTCAAGCAAAATTCATAAAATCTGAGCTATTCAGCAGTGTGAAATAGTGCAGAAAGGTATTTTAAAAATACATGCATATAGAACAAATGCCTCATTCAAGGCTTACAAACTGTCAATGTAAAATGCCAGTGTCAGACTCGTGTAGTTACATATGATTATTAAACTCGTGGCTTAGTCTAACGCCACATAGTTCATCAGCTTCAGAAGAGCTGCACAGACGTAAATGAGAGTAGAAGCTGACCTTTTGAATTCACATACTGAGTCACAACTTCATCTCAAAGCTGATGTAATTGTAATGCACTTCACCTTTACATCCATTTTATCGTCCTGCAAGTCTCATTACTAAAAATAAACCCGTTCTGGAAAGTTAAAGTGGACATGTGACAATGGCCACTTTGGATAAGCCCCTGCACGCAGACACTCCTCTCTCCCTATTATGGTTCCATCATGTTTCTGCCTAATGCTCCCGGCACCCACCATCTGCTTTCTCCTGTATTACCTGGAGTCAAGGCAATTGGTAAATACAATGAAAATTCATTGCTTTCAGTTATTTGGCATTTATCTTTACAAATAACTTAAATCTTAACAAAAGACCAGACAAGATGCCTCTGTTCAGTTAGCTGGAAATTCTGAGACCTCAGACTGATTCTAAACCCAGTCCGGCACTGCAGAAATGTCAGATTCAGTCAGTGCTACATAGGCAGAACATAAGATTGTCTTTAAAATTTTTGATGTCAGCTGGAAGATGCAGAAACTGGCCCAAAAAGCTATTAGGATAATGTTATTAAGATGAACTTTTATTATATGGCATGCTACTTAAATCTGCAGACAGGAAAGGAATCTGTAGGAATCAAAACAATGCCTGATTGCCATTGTCTAACTCTCTGAAGATTAATTGTAATGTAAGACCTCCAGCTCTTCTTACACCGTTAACAAAGCAAAACTATCTAAAGCGAGTTCCAAAGAGGAGACCACAGCAGAAAATATTAGAAAATTAGTAACATTTTTTAAATTTATTACCCCAACGCTAATGAAAGGTGGAAACAAGAGGAATGTATATCCTCAGTGACCGAGCAGAAGCAACAGATCTAGTTAGATCTTTGTACAGTAAACTGCACATTTTACTAGCAATCTTTTTACATTAAGACTGCTCTATTCCTTTTTTTAAGATACTTTTTTTCAGTAAAAGTATACTGGGCATTTATTTAAAGGGGAAAAGTCAGAATTAATGATTTCATAATCAGCTTATTCTTGACAATGTATTTCAGAAAAGAGCCTTGGGTAGTGTCCCTAATATAGCACAATAAAAAAAACAGACAGTATTAGACTTTTAAACTTACACGTTTATTATTCTGTGAACTAAACAAAGATAGATGGAGATATATGGATGTCTACCAGCCCATGTACTAAGTCACAGTTCCTGTAGGTATGGTAGTGTTTGTCTGGCTCTAAGCATGTAAGCATTTGCTGTGTGTAAATATTTATAGCAGACAAAACCGAAAAAGTGTCCTGATATAAATGAAGATGTCTGATGCTTTCCATTATGAATTGATACCACAGTCTCCACATCATAAAAGGATGCACAAGGCTGCAGGCTTTTTGAGGGAATATCTGTGTTTATATTTGTTAAATTCCAGTGTCTGAAACTGTTTCATGTACCATGTATTTCTTAAATTCATTAGATGAGAAAAAAAGGAAAGAAGACAAGCCTACTAATAAGGACACCTTCAGGAGAGGTGAAAGATGTGGGTAAGAATCCCTACAGCTTCACCCTTGGCAAGTGAGCGAAGGGCAAAAAGAAGGCAGTAGCACATCTCCCATGGCAGATGCAACAAAACATCTTGGGACTGTTCAGATCAAGCACCTCAAGTGAGAGAGAAATACCTGTATTACAGATGCTGGTGATCCTGGTGGAATTTTGTGTGTGACAGTCCTCAACAAGGTCAAGGTTGAGGTGCTTGTACATGTGCCAGAACTTCAGGTGTCTGAAGGAAACTGTAAGTGAAAATGTGAGCACCTCCAGGGTTGCCTGGTGAGTTGATGTTTTGATGACTTAAGTACCATATATTTCTCATTTTTTAAAGCATCTAACTGCTTTCTTCAGCTTTTGAACGGGCAGTGAAATTCTTTACAGTGGGCTGCATTTGTATCTTACTGATCAAGTCTCCTTCTACCTTTTTTCCCCAGTATACACATACCCATTCAGTATTCTCATTCTCTTGAAAGGCAAAGGAAAGAATCATCATGGTTTACCCGATGATAACTAGAGCTGAACTCAACAGAAACTTCTGAGCAGTGTTGTTATTATGAGTTATCACCAGTTTAAATGGGTGTCCATTTACATCTAGAGTTGCTTTGACCTGGCTAGTCCAAAGCTTACCATACTACTTTTTGCTTTCTTATAACATGATTTTTTCATGGTTTATGCGAGTCATTGTTTTACATACTTTGGGGAATCTGTATTTCCAACTTGACTTACATGAACTACATTGGTCACAGTCATCAGAGAAGGGAAGAGGAATGTGGGTTTTTTGTCCTGTGAAACATTACCAAGGGTGTGGGGAGCAAACAGGAGGCTTAAAAAAGCCAAAAACCAAGAGTATTACACAAGTTTAAGACAAGAAGAAGTTAGGCAACTAAAGTTACCAGAAGAGGGGAAGCTGAATGCTACTAGGACATCCCTATTGTGTAAAGTACAGAAGCTTAAATGGCCCCAAACAATTGTCCTCAGTGCATATCACTTTATTGCAAAGACATCTCAAAAAGCAACTGAAAACATCTGTATGTGAAATCAGATTGAAGCCGATTGAGTTTATTAGTTCTGATAGTTTTACAATAGTTTAAAAAATGCAAAGAATTTATCATGTTAATGTGAATAATAAGGTTCTTACTGTTCAGTGTTTTTCAAGTGAAATTA